TTATTTATATAGTACCTTTAAAGGTGACATCTCAAAGTGCTTTATAGAACGACGACAACAACAATAAAAAATACACATGATATGCACAAAAAAAACATAATGAGAAACACTGGATGGGGGTACTGAATTTATTTGATAATTTACAATATTTTATAATTGTTTGAGTAATTTTAAGCACACACTTGAGCCAATAAAAAAATTCTAAAATGTGGTATAAATGATGAAGATTAAAATAACAGTAGATAACTCATAATTACTTTTGCAAAATCCAATGTCTTTATGTGACTATTGTTTATGTATCAAATATCTTATGATGATATGATCCTATGATGTTTTTAGTTTTCTGATTTTGTAAAGCTGATAGATACTTTCATTTTGCATTTTTGTATTTTACTTTATGTCCAGGTAGTGAGATTTGTAATAATACCAAGGGGTTTCCTTGTGTGCCTTTAAGGTTATAATGTGAAAACAACAGCTATTTAAAAATGTATAAAAATGTTCAAGTTAAGTTTCACTTGTTCTGTAACAGGACCAATGTTTTTTAGACCCAGGCTGTACTGCACCATAGCTGACTCTATCAAGAAGAAGGCTCAGCAGCGCCTTTATTTCTTGAGGTGCCTCAAGCGATGGGGGATGCCAATACATGTGTTGGTGAATACCGTGTGGTATGGCAATACCTCTTCGCGAGAAAGAAAGGCACTGCAGAGAATGGTCGATATGGCCCAGAAGATCATCGACTGCGGTCTCACCGAGATTAAACAGCTCTATGAGGACCGCTGCCGTGGTAGAATTCTGGCCATCACAGGAACAGTCACCACCCCAGGCATGAGCTCTTCACCCCACTGCCCTCAGGCAAGAGATATAAGAGCATACGGACACTTACCACTAGATTCTTCAATAGCTTCTATCCACAAGCAGTGAGACTGGCGAACACATTTAGCCATACCCCTCGGACCACACCTACACCATCACCATCGACCTCTTTATGATTTCTTATCTATTGCACATCTCCAGTCATTGTTTACACGTCTGTGTTTTTTACATTCAAACTGTCTACATGTTTACTTGCACATTGTCTATTGTTTGTACATTGTCTTGATGCACTGTTTGCACTTTGTTTTGTTTTTTACACTTGTTTTACAATCGAGAGACTTTCTGTAAGTAAGAATTCCATTGTTCAAGTTGTTCAACTTGTTCAAGTTCAAGTTCAAGCTCTTTAATTTATCACCACACCACCTCTACACCTTCTAGTTTCTGTCTGTATATTTCTAAATCCCATTTTTTTTCTTTCTTAGCTATTTAAGTCTTAAATGAGTTTTAGTTTTTGATGAACAAATGATTTCTAACTGTTCTTGTATTAATTGAAAGCAAAGTATTACATTTGCAAAAAAAAGGCCTCCCACTTTTCAGTGCTTTTGGTCTTCCTCAGTCAGGGTGAATGTTGCACTCACTGGAATGGACCTTATTTTCCAATTATTGTTTGTTTACAGAGTATGCACTTTTAAGGTACTGTATCTAAATATATAACAGCATCTTTCATTGGTCATTCATTGAGTCATGGAAATTCCATTTGTCACAGTTTTCTTTCTACATATTTGATAGTTTGTATTTTTGGATGTTACAGTATATCAGATATTGTGTTCAGCTCTCTAGTATTTGTCTGTTTATTCTTAGTACTTTTTGTATAGCTATTACATTTGGGCCATACATAATGTCTGTTAGCATTTCTTGGCTTTGTACATTAGTGTAATATATAGACATTTTATTAGTAGTGGTCAGTTTCTTCATATACAGTCTTTTCAAATTAGAGTCTTTGCTAGACTAGTCTTTTGCTAGACTCATCTCTGCTTAATGATACCATTCCTGATAGATCATTTTTGGATCTTTGCTTTTATTTGCATGACTTGAAAGTTACATTTTTTTGCATTTTTGCTAACACCAACTTTTTTTTAAATACTTACCACTTTCGCTACATTTCCCTTTTGTATTGAATTTCCTGAGATTTTTCTGGGGTGATTTTAACAGTTCATTTGTCAGGTTTTATTAAGCTGACTGCTTTCTTTGATGACTGACAAAATGTGTTAGTCAATATTGTGTTAGATCAGTATTCTAGAAAAACATTCCTGCAAAGGTCTTAGGCTAGTAGTGTGTGTGGCTACTGGTACAATAATACAAGCTGTACATTTGAAGACACATGCTTTGTCCCAGGTTGTGTATATATGTGACATAAAAGTTAATAATGTGAAAGTTTGTTTAGAAATTAATGTGGTCACCAAATTTCAGCTTAATGTAATTGTAATGATGTGAGGCTTTTAATTTACTTTAACATTCAGAAATTGTAAAGGTGAATTGCAAGAGTACTTGATGGCTTTTTATGTTTATTGATATAACACCAAAACATGCATAAGAACATGCATTACAATCAGAAAATGTAATAGAATATTTATGTGAAACAATGTGCTATGTTATGGAAGCTGATCATTCACTCAGGGATTACAAGAAGAGTTAATAGTTTACAATACATCAAATAGAATGCGTTATGGTCCACCTCGTAAAGTTTATCACTCATATAATTACATCACATTCATATTTTCAAATACAAGTAAATATGGATTTCCTATTGTGAACTAAATATGAATCATGTTTGTTTTATACTCAAACATCCATTGGCCAAATATCCTCGAAGAGTTCAGACTTCCAATTGAGAATTGAGAGTGGAGCTGGCTGGATTGATCCTTGGTCCAATTTGACAGCTGAGCTTCCCAGTGCCAGAGAAAAGAGAGAGAAAGCTTTGCCTTGCATTTCCGGGCACCTCTGCCAGGAATCAGTGTCCACCTACCCCTCATCTAACCCATGCAGAGTCCTGGGATCCGCTCTCCTGCAGTCCTCAACTACCCAGTGATCTCAGACTGTCTTCCCACACTCTCAGAAGGAAGC